TGCTCCATGGCGGCTCCTCCTTGGGTCGGCTGGCGCGAGGCATCACCTGCTGCCCGGTTATCAGGGCCCTGCAGATGCTAAGCCCCACTTGGGGCTTCTTTTTGCAAAACCTTAATGGGATTTGAAGAAATGAAAGGCTTTGATTATCTGCAGGTGCCGAGCCAGAGCGTGGCTCATCCTGGGTGAAAATGAATGCGGGTCCCCAGGCTGGGAGCGAGTGGCGGGGGCTCGCCCGGGGACACGTGGGCATGCTGTCCGAAGCCAAGGATTTCGGGAAAGGTCACAGCTTTTGGATGGCAAAATTCCAATGTGAGTCCCAGCAGGTCTGGGAGGAAGGGAACGCAGGCAGAACCGTGCTGGGAAGTGAACCGTCCTTGCCTCCCTCCTCCTCCTCGCCGTTCTCTCCGTTTCCCCAGCACCGCCAAAACAGCTCTGTGCTGTGCTCGGTTCTGGGTGTGCGTCCTTGCAGCACCACGCCAGCTTGCTTTGGGGGTGTCCTGACCCGCCGGGAGGCTCCAGGAGCCAGGACAGGGACAACGGGGGTGAAGGAGTTCATAGTTGTCCCTTTCCAGCTGTGTTGCTCTTGCTGGGGGAGAGGCAAATGTTTACGGACTGGAGAAGGAATTGGTCAGGCGTCTGCACGGGCTGCAACCCAGCTGAGCCCTCCCCGTCCACAGTAGCACCATGGGGTGGGCTGGAACCACAGAGCAGCAGCCTCATCCCAGTCTCGGGGGCTTTGTGGGGCTCAGGGCTCCCCACAGTGAGTGTCTGCCAGTCCCTCGCTGGCTCGACCAGGCCACTGCCAGGTGTCTGTGCCCAAAGCGAGATGAGCGGAGGTGCCCAGCCTGCCCGGGCTGCTGCATCCCTTCCTCCCTCCCTCCAGGCAGCCCCTTCCCTTCCTTGCCGAACCCCGCTGGGCACCGCTCCCCAAACCCCCGCATCCCGCTGCCCTCTCGGCTGCAGCCGTAAGCACTGGCCATGGGTCACGCTCTGGCCAGGAGACCCATTTTGGCTGCAGGGGAACCATGGCAGTAGGAGGCGAAGGTCCGGTGATGCCCATGGGTGCCTGGGAGCCAAAGCCACCCTCTCTGGGGGCAGGTACTGCCCAGGGGCCCCTCGGAGATGGGCTAGCCCTCGGGGAGGATGGCAGCTGGGGGGGACAGGGCTGCGGGGGTGGGGGGAAGGGCAGGGGGCTGGGCATGGGGTGAGGGGGGCTCATCCAGCTAATTCTCCTCCCGGACAGGCCGTATCTTCATCTCGGTGAACTTGAGGGAGTACTGCCAGCCGGTCCAGGAGGACCACTCGATGCCATCGGCATAGGAGCTGTGGTGGCCCTTGAGGTACTGCCCGTTGAGGTTGGAGGTGTGGCAGGGGTGGGGGCACCAGCCCGCCAGGGGGGATGGTAGAAAGCCGCACAGTTGTTCTCCGAGTGGTCGTTGTCCAGGTCCTTGGTGGTGAACTTCATCCCGTTGTGCTTCAGAAAGGAGTCGCCTGCCACCAGGGAAAGGAGCCGTGATGGGCCCTTCCTGCCCCTCACCCTGCCCTCGGGCTGTCACCCACCCCAGGGGGCTCCCCTGGGCACCCCAGTGGGGCTCCTTTGGTGATGTACAGGGCACTTGGGGTTACCCATCCTGCAAACGCCCAACCGCAGCCCCTCTCCTGCCTCCAGCTCCCCATGGCTGCAGGGATGCAGCTGGCATCGCCGCCAGTGCCGGAGGGGACAGCTAATGCCCCAGCGAGGGGGGTTTGGTGGCCATGGGCTCCCCCTGCCCTGAAGGACCACACGTGTCCCCCCATCCCACTGCCTTACCTGCCGTCCCTGAGTAGTCGGCGATGGAGACAGGGTACCCGTCCTCCTCAGGGTCGACAGAGAAGAGCCCCACGCCGAAGCTGCCGTAGTGGGCGAAGGCGGTGCTGTTGTCAAAGTCCTCCAGGTCAATGCGGAGCTCGTAGCTGCCCTGCACCGTCAGCACGTGGATCTGCTTCAGCCCTGCAGCGGAGGGAGGGGGTGAGTGCGGGGACCCCGGCAAGGGTCCCCGGGGAGGGTGCGCGGGGTGGGATGGGGAGCGGTTCCCACCCTCCAGCCCTCGCTCTGTTATTGCTGCACAGCCAAGGGCACGTGCTCAGCTCGCAGGCAAACAGCCCCATCGCTTCCCTGCCCCTGTGCAGCCACCCGGACCCCTCCCCGCCTGCCCGGGCCATCACTCCTAGGACGTGAGTGCTGGCCAGGGGGTCTCGGTGTCCTTTCCTTCGCAAAGGAAATCCCAGATCCCCCGGGGGGGGGGGGCGGGGGGGCCTCAGGCTTTGCCAACCCGCCCAGGAGCAGGCACTGCCAGCCCCACACACCTAACCAGTGCTCTCCCGTCAGCTTCCCAAAGCCGTCCCGGTAGGCTTCCCAGCCGCGGAAAAAGACCGTGGGGCTTCCAAGCCTGCGCATCCCAAGCAGCCCCCCCGCTCCCTGCCGTGCTGCGCACCCCTCCCCCCATGGGGGAAGAAGTTCCGGGGCCCGCGCCCCCGCCGCTGAAACACCTGGGGGAAGGAGACACGCGGGGCGTCAGCCGTGGGGCTGCTCCAAGCCTGCGCATCCCAAGCAGCCCCCCCGCTCCCTGCCGTGCTGCGCACCCCTCCCCACCACCATCTTATTAGATGCGGGCGCAAATTAAACCCTTTCAACTCAGTAATTAGACAGGGATGCTGGCGAGCAGGTCCCCAGGGAAATGCCAGATCAGGCTCCCGGGGACGGGTGAGTCGGTTCAGATAAAACACTTCACCAGATCCTGCGCCTGGAAATGGGAGCAGAGCTCAGGAAACCCGCGGTGTGTTCCTGCGGGAAGGTGGCCGGTGGCCCCGGGAGGGGTGGGCACCCTGCACCCGGCTCCAGGCTGCGTGTGGGAAACAGCCTGGGCTCTGTCATTGCATGCAGGAGCAGAGGTATGGACAGATGGATGGACGGACGGCATGACTCAAGGTCTGTCCCTGCAGCACGTGCTGCCCAGGTCAGTCCAAGCCATCCTACCAATGGCAGGATGCTCGGTGCCGTGTAAAACTCCCGGGTCCCCGCTCTCTCCTGGGCAGCCACCCCGTTATCAGGCATCGTTCCTGATGATCGTTAGTCATCCCAGAGAAATTAACTGCGGGGCACCGAGCACCTCAACTCCTGCAGAGCCCCCAGATCCCCGCCAGATCGCCGGGGCTCAGCGCGGCTTTTCTCCTCGGAGCCTTTCCCTTTTCCTCTCCCATCTGCTCGTCGGCATGTTGTGCCCTGTGTGTTTCATCCCCTTTTATCCGCAGTTTCAGGTTTGATTTATTGACAATGATCCAGAAAATGCTACTCCATGTCCGGCCATTTGAACTTAATTAAGCCTCCAGCCCTGGATTAATTGCATTAAACTTGGCTGAGCCAGCCTGCCTGACTGCCACCAAGCGCTGCACTCCCATGGCCGGGGGACACACACACGGGGCGCTCGGTGATTTAGGAACAGCCACCCCATGCGCCGGCAGCCAAAGGGCCAGAGCACCCTGTCTTCGGGGCTGGGCTGTGCCACCGAGCCCCTTCACTCCGCTTCCAGCATCCCGGACTCGGGCGACGCCGCCGAGCCCCAGCGCCGGCTGGGAAGCCACCATGCTTTGCTCCACCACGGGGATGCTCCTTCACAGCTTCCCCCCGGCTGCTCCTGCCCTCCTGCACGTGCAGGGTTTCATCCCGGCATGCAGAGGAGACCCAGCTCATGAACTTCATGCTGTTTTGCCCTTCACCAGACGAGCATTTCTGGGGCTGCAGGTGCCCAGTGCAGGCTCTGGCGCGCTCCTTGGCATGGCACGGCACGGCTCTGATCCTGCTGTACTTACCTTCTAGAATTAGAGCCTTAATTTTTATCCCTGCGTTGAGCACTTGAGAAGCTGCGGTTAAGCCTGTTTAAAGGGGCTTTTTTCAGGCCTGCTGGGAGAGGGGGGATGGCACGGCTGGACGGGGTCCCGAAGCTGATTTTCCCTGGCCGACGCTGGCTGCGGCGCTGCTGCACGGGGAAGGCGGCGGAGGCAGCACCGCTGCTCCCTCTTAATCGGCTTTGACCCGTGTTTGTAAATAGGCCAATTGCCTGAGCGGTGCCCAGGGAAGCGTGTGGGGCACGTCTCCGCTGGCTGAGTCTCAGCACGGCTCAGCGATTACTTCGGGCACTGGAGGAGCCCTCAGTGCCCTGCTGCCCACCAGGCTCAGCCCCAAGGGGCTCAAAACCGGGTCGGAAGGGCTGGCGGGTGCTGGAGGTCGTGTGTCCTCCTGGGTCTCCTGCTCCATCCTCATCATCTCTCATGCATGGTCCCTCCTTATGCTTCACTCGTGCACCCACCTCTCCCGTGTGCAGGCGGGGATGTGGGAGCCTCCTCCTTGCCCCCCACGCTGGGATGCTGCATGCACCGGGATGCTGTATGCACTGGGATGCTGCGTGCACCAGTGGCCCGCAGGCTCGCTGCCATGCTCCTGGCTCTGCCTTGCTGCTCTTTTCCTCCTCATCAAATATGTATCACCCCCTCTTAAGCAAAAAGGATTTCCTTCCCTTCTTTAAAGGCAAGGCTGAAATATTTATCTCCCCCACTCTCTGCCTCCCCCGGTCGCACTGAGCTCGCGGGGCAGGGACAGGCTCCTGCAAAGGCACCAACCCAGAAAAATGGGTTAAAAACAGAAAAGTGGGAGCACCAGCCTGTACCTGCCTTGGCGTTGGCGGCGAGGGAGGGCTCTGTTCCCTCTCCCTGCAGCCCCCTGATACCAGCCCCCACCAAACCCCCAGCGGGCTCAAAACCCCACCACAGCCACAGCCTGGGGAGATGCTCAGCCATCACTTTTCTGCCACCGCAGCACTCAAGCTCCTGGTCAGGTTTTTGGCAGCCGGAGCACGGACCCCACAGCCCCGGCCCCGCGGCGTTCCCCTGAGCCCCCATCACAACGGGGAGATCATCTTCGGGTTCAGCCATGGAGAAGACAAACTCGGAGCATCGCAGGAGCCGGTCTCCGGGAAGTGCCAATCCTGTGTGATCACCTGCAAACACCGTAGCCGGCAGTGCTGCCTGTCCTGGGGACCCGGCTGCTCCTGCCTGTCCCCGCCAGCAGAAGCGTCTCGTCCCCATTCGTGGGAACGCATAAATCACATCTTTTGGAAACAGCACGCATTTCCCTGGGCTCATCTCATCTGCTGCTTTCGGCTTATCCCAGCCTATGTGTAAATGCATCAGTGTCCGTTCAAACCCCCCAGCCTACGCCAGGACCCCTCTGGCGGGTGATGAGCAGGCTGGGCGAAGCCATCCCCGTGAGCATCCCCGGCAGTGGCAGGTGTCCGTGAAGCTGGAATCTGTCACTTAACATCACCACGGCCCTCGTCCTGCCGGCACAGCCTTTTCTTCCGCTTCCTTCGGCTTTCCCACCACTTCCCAATACGTGCTGTACATGGAAAATGATGCTGAGGCGGCCGGAGCCATCGCGGCACCATTGCTTACGGGGCTGAGATGCTGATCCCGGGGGCCTTTGCCCCGGCTGGGCAGCGATGGAGGCTCATGGGCAACGGGAGGAGCACAGGGCATTTGCAAAGACTTCCCAAGACAACAGCACATGAAGAGGCAACTTTTTCAGGCCTCCCGGGATGCCAAGCCTCTCCCGCCCTCCGTCACCCTGTTATTACTTTAATAAAGTGCCAGAGGTGAGTGTCAAAGGGGGGGGAGTCAGGGTCAGGCTGGGCAATCACAAGGCTGCAGTCCGGCGCTGCCGCGAGGCTCAGGTCAGGCCAGGGGTGTTGCTGCAATTAAAGTTGGCGCTGAGCACAGGACGCGGATGCTCCCGTTGGTGCCGGCAGGCACCGACCTGGACTCACGCCCCAGCCGGCTGCAAACGTGGCCCCGCTGCTGGCGGGCAGGACTGAGGGGGGGACAAAATGGAGTCAGGTGTGTGCTGGGGGCTCCCCGGCTCTTCCCTCCTGCATTTCTTTGCCTTCATGTCACCCTGCCCTGCATAGACAGTGATGCTGGCTGCCCTCTCTGCCGGATTTCTGCTTTTTGACTATGCAAAATAGGCAGCAAACAGCCCCAGAGCTGCAATCGCTTGCACAGCGCAGGGGACTTCGGCTGCCCCGGGCTGGATGCGGCCGTCGCTGGGAGGAGAGGCATTGGTCTGCCGAGGGCTGTGCCTTGCTCAGCCTTCCCGACAAAGGGGATGGGGAAGGACCAGGGACCCTGCCTCTGGCAAGGGGACAGGGTGACGCTGCAGATCATGCCGTGGGGACGGGGAGGTGCTGAGCAATTGGTTTCTCCCCAACGGGGCATCGGGGCAGCTCTTCCCCTGGCCCCGCTCCCCGTGGTCTCTAAGCCATCCATGCAGGCTAAGGCTTAGCTCAGCAGCTCCCAAGCTCTGGAGTCAAAATTGAATCAGCTGCTGCCATCACTTCCACCCACCCACCCACATGCAAATAAGCCCAAATGTCAGGAGTAATCGCTCCAGAGGAAGAGGAGGAGGGGAGGGAAATTTCCCAGGCTCTGCACCACGGTGCTCAGCTGTGCCATGGCTTACCTGGAGCCTGGGTGAGTCAGTGCCCCAGGGACCCCCTCTGTGTCCCTAGCCCCATGGGAGATGGCTGAGACACCCCCGCCACCACCCTGGGGCTGTGGAGGTATGTTTGGGAGCCTGCGCTGCAGAGCAGCCCCAAGAAACGGGAGCCTGGGGTGAGCCCCCTTGGCCCTGCTCTGGATACACCCATCTCCAGAACGCCGGGATTCGGCACCTGGTTTGGCTCCTCTGCCCCGGTCGAGGCAGGGCAGAGCCGTGGTGCTGCCTGGCTGTGGTGCTGCAGGCAAGCACCGTGCCGGCCCTGCTGCCGGAGCCCACGATGCTGCTGGGTGTAAAATCATTCGCTTTGCCCCCTCCCCAGCCCAGCCAGAGCCCTCCTGGCTGCAGCAGCTTTAAATAAGCTTCTGAGTGTCTCACTAATCACCTTGGGCTGCTCTTCAGGCAGTGCTCGAGCATGGCTGGGGCTGGCAGAGGCTGTGCATTGGGCTTGCAAGGACCCTCCCCACCCTGGGGAGCAAGTGGGGTCCCCCCCCTTTTCCCTCTGTGAGCCCCCCAGGAGCTGGGGTCCCCAGGGCTGCGATGTGCCTCAGTTTCCCTGCTGGAGCTGCTGGTACCGACCTGTGCACGACAGGTCGCTCCCGCCCAGGGTGGGCTCTGGGCAGATCGAGCCCCCCCTGAGGGCAGGGGGGCTAAGCTCCCTCCTGGCACCGCTCAAAGCTGCTTAGGGGAATCAGATCGTGGGGATTTGTTTCCTAGAGCACCCAGCTGGAGGGGCGCTGGCTGGCTCAGCTCACCCAGCGTGTCCTCGGGGGAGAGGCTGCCTGCCCACCCCTCCCAGCGAGCACCCCGCCACCTCCCTGGGACCCCCTCGCTGCCCTGCCAGCACCCCGAGCGATACCCTCCCAGGTAGGGGCTGCTTGCACCCAAGGGGCCCCCAGGGCGAGGGGGGTCTCCAGGCTCAGGGCTGCCAGCATCACGTCCCCCCATCCCTCCCACTCCCTGCTCCCATTACTGTGATTATGGGGCCGTTGCAGCAGCCACAGCAAAGCGAATCGGACAGGGTGTCCGGGGACCCAGTTAATCATCATGGCACCAGAGGTGCCCCAGGCGCCCCTGTGTTAGATGAGATGAAACGTGCTGGGTTTGGGGTCTGTCCTGAGCCCCAGCACCAGCTCACCTGGACCATGAGGATGGGGCAAAGCACAACCGTTCGCCCCCCAGCACAAATGCAGCTACGCTGTGTCCCAGCCGGGCACCAGCCCCACCGAGAAGGACGAACTCCAGCCATGGCATCCAACTCCCTGCCTGAAACCACCCTCCAGCTCCAGGGCAGGGCCGCTGGGCTCTGGCACAGGGCTCAGCTCGGCAGCTCTGCTGATGCCACCGGCATGGATAACGCGGACAAGCCTGTTTGTTTGCTTCCCCACGGGACTGGGCACCCTGTGCACAGCCAGACCCCGTTAGCATTTATCCCCCATCCCGATGACACATCCAAGCACCGAGAGTAACGTCTCCCACCCCCCGACATCCCGGCGCGGGGACAGCCCACAGCTGGTGGTGGCATCGCCCGGCGCTCCCCGGCACGGCGGCAGCTCACCGTCCAGCCGCCCCCATCGGTTGTCATGTCGCAGTAGACCTGGAAGCCGGAGGGGTAGTGCGTGGGAAAGATGGAGTAAATCCCATCCTCTTGCTGTCCGCTTGCATAGATGTCAAAGCAGTCTCGGGGCCGGGAGCCTGCAGCGTGGCATTGGGATGGGGCGAGATGAGAGGAAAGTTGGTTAATTAATGATCTAATTTAATGTCTTGCCATTTCTTTCAGGCTCTCAACCTTGCTGCCAGCTCTAGTTGGCTGCTCGGTGCTGCCTTGCTCTTTCCCTCCTTTCTCCTCCGATGCTGAGGGCGAGCGGTGCCCGGGGGACGCAGCCACCACAGGGACCCCCCTGGCAGCTGGCAGGGACCGACCCCATGTCCCCGTGTGACAGCAAAGGCAGGCTGGGACCCAGCCGGGGAGGAGGGAGCTGATGCCCAGAGGCAGCTGCAGGCAGAGTGTGGGGATGTGCTCGCAGCCCCGGGACAGTCTTAGTCAGCTTCTTCTTAACCAAATGATGATGAATGTGACTGTTTGCTCTGAGTCCCATGCAGCGCTGCCGTCTGCACCCGAATGAAGGCGAACAGTCGCTTCTTGGTCTGCAGGGGTGCAAAATGGCTTTTGTGCTGGCTTCGCAGGCTGGTTTATGGACAACTGGGGGCCGCACGGTGAGAAACACCCCTTCTAGGACACAACTTTCCATCTGCCTCCTGCCCCATCTCCCCTATCTCCTTGCCAGCCCCCCCACTGTATTAAATCCCTTCTCCAGGCTGGTTGTCTCCCTCCCCTTTTCTTCTTAGGCAGAGACCTGCCGAGAGCAGCACCAGGCGCATCCCTCTCCCCAGGGACCAACAGGGATGCCGTCTCACCATTGGAGCAGCCCCGGGGCCGTGGTCCCCTGGCCGGCGCTCGCTGCAGGTCAGCCTTGAGCCGGGGCCGGGCGCTGCCGCGCTCCTTCTGCAGCGTGTCCAGGACGTCGCTGACGGAGCTCACCAGCCGAGCCATGTTGGTCTGGCTCTCTGAGAGCAGCTGTGGGTGGGGGACACATGGTGGGGGACAAGGTTAACCTGGTGAGACCCTTTCCACCCCCTCAGCCCCACCACCATTCTACTGTGAGAATGCTCTGCCTGCTCCCACAGCTCCCCAAATGCCTGCAGGCAGCAACACCTTTAACCCTGCGGGATAAAGAGCATCTCTGGGCAAGGGAACGGGACTGTGGAGGCGGCAGGAATAGCCGTGTCCTGAGACAGCCGCCGGCTCCCTGCCGTACCCCGAGGTGACCCGGGCTGGGTGAGTGACGTGGGGTGGCCGTGGCAGAGCAGCAGGACAGGGAGCGAAGCAAGCAGCGGGGATCAAGCGGCTCCGGACGGAGGGTGATGAGGACCAGGAGGGATGGGCATGGAGCCGAGCATCCAGCTGTGCCCTGGGTCTTGCTACGATGCCCGGCAGACCCCCGGCGTACCCAGGTAAGCATAATGCATCATCAGCTGGGAAATTTTTGGGACTGTAAAGAAGGGGAGGCTGATTGCTGCATGAATTGCCCTTGGGATGGTCCTGTGCCATGCTCGGCTCTGCTCAGAGCCCCCAGACTGGACCCGGAGCCAGGAGACCCACACATGGGAGGCTGCACACCCGGCTCGCCGGCACTGGGGCGGTTTGGCAGCGAGACGCAGGCGGCTGATGAGCTGGAGCTGAAGTTGTGCTTCCAAACTTGCAGTTCCGAAGCGCCTGCCTTAAACCTCAGCTCCTTCTGCCGGAGGTCTCCCCTGGACACCGTGGGCAGGGGCTGCAAGCAGCCATGCCCTGGGGACAGGGGGGTCTGTCCCCAAGGAGCACCGTGCAGCACCCCCAGCCCCAGCTCACCTGGATGAGCCTGCCCTGCTCGCTCTGCAGGGCGCTGAGCTCCTGCCCCATGGCATTATGCCCCTTCTTGAGGCCATCACAGTCGGCGCGCAGCTGCACAGTGTGCGTCAGCAGCTTGGCCACCTCGTCCGCCACCGTGACCAGCAGGGCCTTCTGCTGGCTCTTGGTGGCCTTGGCCTCGGCGTCGTGGTCGGTGACGGCGCGCAGCAGGGAGGTCTGCAGCCCTTCCAGGCGCCCGAAGGTGCCCGCCGTGTCGGGGCAGTTGGGGTCGATGAAGATGTTGATGCGGGAGCTGTCGGCTTTCTCAATGGTGACCAGCGCATTGGCTTCCTCAGGGTTGGTGCTGATGACGGGGGGCGGCTCGGTGACGGGCGTGTGGTAGTGATTCATGAAGAGGATGGCCCCCGTGACCGTCACCGCCAGGAGGACGGCCACCGAGAGCAGGATGGTGCACAGGATGTACCCACAGCTCATCCTCTGCGGACAGAGAGACAGACACCATCAGGACCCATCCGGATGGACCCATCCTGCTCCCCTTCATGTGAGAGGTGGGTTCAAACCCTTGTGGGCTTTGGGGGGGCTCCAGCAAGGGGGGAGGCGATGTTGGACACGTGGATGGTGGCAGAGGAGGGGACGGGTTGACCCCAAGGAGCCCTCCGGTTCTGCCAGGGACGTGGAGGCCACAGGCAAGCACTCAGCGAGCAAAGCAGCTAAACCCACCTGGGAGCCGGAGGCATGAAATAATAAAGAGAGCGAACGCGCGGTGGCCGCCTGCTCCCGCTGGCATGTTTTATTTAAGGCGGCGACGCTCAGCTGGAGCAGCCCCAGCTCACCGGGAGGTGCATGCAGGGCTCCCTGCTACCCTGGGCACAAATATGGGGAGAAAAAGGGAGGACACCTCCAGTGTCCCCTGGAATGGGGACAGCAAGGAGGTGAGGGAAGGCAGGGGCTGTCCCCAGCAGCAAGGGGAGGCTGTGGGTCAATGTTGGGACCACACCGCCCTGAGCATCGTGGGGAACTGCTCTGCACGGGGCATCTCCCAGCTGCGGGGGCCACACGTCCCCGTCCCCCTTGTGCCCTCGCTGCCTGCTGGAGGGGAGCAGAGCTGCTCCCAAAGCCCTTGGACTTGTCCTGGAGCCTCCCGGTGAGGGGCAGTCGCTGTGGGAAAGGTCTCCGACGCCCGGGCCATCGGGTGGGAAGTGCCCCAGCCGCCGAGCGAGCCACTCTGGCAGCTCCCGCTGCTGCAGGGACCCATCGGCTCAGCCCACAGGAGCTGCTCCGCACGCACGGAGAGCCTTTTCTCCTTGCAAAGCGTGAAGTGCCAACGCTGTCAGCGTGGATGGAGCGAGCTGCCACCCGGCTGCATCAGCCCCCCGTCCCCCCCCCCACCGCCTCCCCTTCTC